TCTTCGAATAGTCAGTCAATGATCGTACATACATAGTTCTCGTACTACACATGAGTGCACTTCCTCGGTAAAAACCCTTTGTTGTTTTGCCCCTCCTGCTGTAAGGAAGCAGCGCCAAACACTTCCTGTTTCTCCTTCGTATTTAGAATATATGTATGTATGTATGTATGCATGTGTATCTCCACCACCACTAATAAATATTCATGACTCAGTTGGAAAATCCCATCATCGGTTTTAATGGTCCACCAGTAGACTTACGCTTGTACGCGCTCATTCATTCGAGCGGCAGTGAAATCTCAATTATTCTTATGTGTCATTCCGAGTGTGCAACGGAGCGCCAAGTAATCTCCACTATGGATCTTTGGATATGGGGTGTGCGGCATGTCGCTGCTGCTGCCTTTGAGATGGCAAAATTGCAACGGCTAAATCAGGTATCCATCCATACATATCCATGTACTGATGCACACAGGTGCAGAACTACATACATTCATGCATATGTATATACATATGTATACAGTTTTATATAGCGTAGAAATGTGCTATAATGTTCACAGCAAGCAGACAGGCGGCCATGGTCGCTCAGGCTGCGGACGATCTCAATGGGTTTGCGCCACTCGTGCTGACAGCTTCTGTGGCTTCAACTGCCGCAAGATATCAAATATAAGATTTCATGCTGCAACGCTTCGACTGCTGCGTTGAAAAGTGGAAATCTACACCTGATGCGTTCCAATATCTTTTTTTTTAATTTTATTTTTTTTTTTTGTAAGTGTGTTTATTTTTCGTTTGTTCAGATGCAACAAGTGCAAAGAAGATGCACATCTGCGAGCGAATAAGTATATTTGAATTTACTACAGTGTATATTAAACAATGGATTTCGTTTGTAAACTGCACAGCCACTGTTGCCAACTTGGTGCTTTTCGCACTAAATTTAGTGCTTTTCAAACCTTTATTTTGGGCTGAATTTGTTATATTTTTTTACGACTATTCAAAAAAGCAGCAGCATTTCAATATCTAACGAACTCTTTGAGCGAAAATATTTGAATTTATAGAAAACAGAATAAATTTGAACCGGCATCCCTACAATACAATTTTTAATGCATACAGAGTCCATTAAATACTCCAGTAAGAAAAACGCGACTATTCTTGAGTTTTAGTGCTTTTTCAAATTCAAAACTTGGCAACACTGTGCACAGCATAAGCAAGTTCGTATGAAGCTTTGCTAGGTATATAAATAAACATTTGTGACCTTAATGCGATGAGATGCTTTTCTTGGATTATAAGCAAAGTGTTGAGCTTTAAAAACTGAATAAAACGAAAGTCTATGAGTCAGAAATCGTGAGGAGCATTCTAGGAAGTTTATAAATATCGAAATTGATGTGCGTTGTTGTTGTTGTAATCGCATACAAATTTCCTGCTTTAAAATATTTTTCGTTATTGCCAATGCAAAAATAGTGTTTGAAGTCATAAATTGGTTGTGAAATACGGAAATTATTGATCCTTTAACCCAGGCTTTCCCAAAGTGGGTGCCTGGGGTGCCGCTAGTGGCTAGAGTATACTAGTGTGGCGCTTGCAAATTCTTTAAACGTTCCATACACAACGCAAGCGGTTTGATCAGACTTCAACATGGTGCCCATTCGCAATACAACTCGAAGAAGAACTTTTAATGAGTGAAGTACTTGAGATTTACACCAGTAGCGACGAAATTTTTTAATCTGTCCACAAATGTGTACAGAAAAATGTTTTGAAATGGAGCAAGTGTGCGGATATTTTTGCAGTGATGGAGCAGCCGCAGTGGTATCACCCAATAAACTTAAAGGAAATAATGAAATCATCAAAACAATTTCAGTCCTCAAATTAAAGCTAAAAGAGCATAAAGTTTTCATTGTGTTTTCTTGTTTTCGGAGACATTTAAGGAGTAGGGGTGCCGCGTATTTTTTTTTTAGCACAACAAGTATGCCTTGGTACCAATCCCAGTGAATTGAATGATAAAAAAAACTAATGAACCCGCATGGCGTTAAAACGCCCAAAATTGAATTTCAAAAATTAAAAAAATTTCCAAATGTTAGTTAGAGTTATAAGAGATCCGAGTACCATATTTCATAAAATTTTTCAAACCGCTGCTTATTAAATAATTTGAATTTAACTTTTTGAGCAGGTGGCAACCCTCTTCCACCACCTCAATAATATTCTTAGCATTCAAAGATTTCTTAATACTCCTTCGTCTGACATCCATACTTTGGTATTTCATATAACTTATGTATAGTAATTAGGTGGCAACGCTCCCCAAAAACCCGCTTCGTTTGGCACGCATATGGTGATACTAATTTCTCTTACCTAATATAATTTTTAAACAAGTGGCAACAAAGCTTTTCAAAACCACATCGATTGATAACCATTTTGTAATTGATCGGGATAATGGTACAGATATAAGCAATTCCTCTAAAATCGATTGCTAGTAAAAATAACTTCTGGTTTAGGTTTAAAAAAAAGTTTAAAGTTTCAGTTTTATGATGTCAAAGGAATAAAAAAAAATTAAAAACCAGCATGCGCTCATTAACAGCAGAATAAGTAATGTAAACCTTTTCTATATCTTATCCTTTCATAGATATACTTTTTTTCCACGCCACTGCTCACTATCGTTCCACAGTTGAATCTTTGTAAATTTAAAAACACAGAGGAATAATGCAAATGAAATAGCCAACAAATGTTAGTGAAAGGCAATTGAATTTAATTAATAGTAATTAACGAGATAAATAAGTACATACATATGTGGATGCTTACATCCGAGTACAATATGACACAACTTTATTATATTCGCATTTTATTTAATTGAGAGTGAGCTAGCAACTTTTCTGCAGTTGGCTTTTCTTTGATAAAGATTTCTGCAACAACTACGACAATGTGGAGAGTATATGGAAGGGATGTATCTTTTGCACCTGCGATTTCTGTGCACAATAAAAGTTATATGTCTTATGGCGATACGTAAAAGTAAACAAGACTTGTGTTAATTTATGTTGCCAATAAAACAAAGTATGCATATCCCTTTTCACATGCACTAGGGTGATCAATTGTTGTGTACTTGCATCTGTGTTCGTTAGGAATAGCAGCTAAATTACCAAGAGGTACAGAATTTCTATTGCAGATAGAGAGTTTTGGTGAGGCGGGGCTTCGGAAGAAAACGGATCACTCCAATTCTATAGGGATGATTCAAAACTGGACAACAAGGTAGGATGCGAAGTTGGGGCTGGGAAAATGATTTCGGTTATCCGACCACTGTAGCCGTTTTCAAGCTGAAGTTACTGCAATACAGGGGGCGGTTGAACTTCAACACTGGGTTGAATTGTATGTACAATGTTTTCCAATCAAGTTTTTTTTTTTTTATAAAAATATTGTTCATGCATTAACCACAATTGTCACCCTTTATGCAGAATCTAGAAAAATTCAACAAATTTTTTAATTCGAGTATTGACGAGCCCCCGTTTAAATTTTAAGACATACAACAATACGACACTTATGACAACGTTTTGAATACCCCAAATGTGAAAATGTTTTGGTATTCAGTTGAATGGCTTATAGAGTTTTAATAAAATCAGTGCAAGTTTTGAGTGGCTAAAAAACGGCATTGATTCTTAATAATCTTTTGTTTCTGATTTCCTCTAACGAGATCACAAAAAATTAAATTGGGCCAAATAAAAGTAAGTAACATCAATATTTTAATCAATTGATCTTTATTTCCTACTTAATTTACTAATTGGTTAAAATGTTGATGTTGTTGATGTTGATTACTTTTATTTTGTCCAATTTAATTTTTTATCATTTCATGAGAGAAATAAGTTCCGGATTTGATCTACACAAAAGTTGTTGTAAAAATTTGAAAAATTCGTGTTCCCACTCTAATTTTAAATTTTTTCAAGCTCATTCTGCAGACTGTAAATATTGTCGTAGAGAAACAGGATTTCTTTTCTAGAATAAAGGATTAAAATAGCACCTTTTAAGACCTATATAATTTTCGTTCAAAAGTTTAGGGTTTTTCGACTCGCCCTAATGCATAAGCCCTCGATATGTGTGATGCGGTTGGTACCGTACTTAAAATGTCGTTATTGCCACTGGTTCCGATTCATTTCTATTTCACTTAGCCACCAATCAACGAGTAGTTATGTAGCACCGTTCATGCTTCACTTACTATCACTTGATTAGATTAACTACAGCTGCGATAAAATATACATATTTCCTCAATTACCATCCATAGATATACTTGTATTTAACTTAAGCGAATACTTATGTACATACATACATACATACCTGTATACTACGTATCGTTGGATGGTAATCATTTGCGTTCTTAACTTAACGCGTCTAACACGATTTCGACATTCTGAAATGGCAGAAATGGCTAAAACCTGAATATTATTTGTACAGTCCATTAGGAGTACACATGTACATATTTACGTACATACATACCTAGTACGCTTACGATTTACTATGCAGCCACTAAGCTTTAGGGAGCACAATAGCTTCATTGAGGGATTTAAAAATAAACCCACTTCACTCAACAATGCCAATATGTTTTACAACAATAATAATGATAATAAACTAAATAATAAATCAAATACATATGTATGTACATACGTACAGTAATAAGTTTATATGTATGTATGTATGAATGCGAACACTTTTATTAAATGCAACTGTAATTAGGGAAGTGCAGTCAATTAGTACTGAAGCATAAAATATATGTATGTATGTATGTATGTATGTATGTTAGCACTAATTGCTTGAC